GACCCTTGTGTTGAGGGGCAACCCCAGCCATGGGGTGGCCCCGGCAGGGGTGGTCCTCCAGCCCCCCGGGGCGATGTTCAGTGGAATTGGCACCCTCCTTCGCTTCTCCTTCACTGTGCGTGGCTGATGGGGCTCTTTTCTTTCCGACTCTTTGCCTCTTCCTTTCCCTTCGTTTGCTTTTTCCTCGTTTTGTTTGAGTGCCCGACCTTACTGCCGTACAACAGCGCTGGCGTCTGAGCTGTCTCTGAATGTCTCTGGACAGACCTGTTGTTTCGCGCACATCAGCTTCCAACCGGGCGCACCGAGTGCCTCTGAGCTGGCCCAGCTTTTCTGTGCGACTGACCCTTTTTTGAGCCGATTAATTACCAGTAGACTTTGGGCAAAATCAGATTGAATAACCCTTCTCACCCCTTGCAAAGTCGCTGCTGTCAGAAAGGTTTCAGTCTCCATGCTTGAGTTGTGTTTGACTCGACTCTGTGATGTTTGCTGCAGCCTTCTTTCTCCTCCTCCTCCTCCTTCTCCTCCCCTCGTCCCTGGCGGCACTGCCAGCGCTGCCGCGCCGTGCTGTCCTCACTGTCCCCGTCTCTCTCCGCCATTGTGTCTCATTCAGAGAGCGGGCTTGAGGGAGGGCGCCGAGGAGAAAGCTAAGCCGCCTCGGCACAGGGCCCCCGAGAGTGACACCGGCGACGAGGAGCAGGACCAGGAGAAGGACTCAGTCTTTCTGAAGGACAACCACCTGGCCATTGAGCGCAAGTGCTCCAGCATCACGGTCAGTTCAACCTCCAGCCTGGAAGCAGAGGTGGACTTCACAGTGATTGGTGACTTCCACGGCACAGCCTTCGAGGACATCTCCCGGAGCCTGCCCGAGCTGGACAAGGACAAGAGTGAAACGGAAGATGAAAGGCTGGTTTCCTTCCAGCACGTTGACAAAGTAGTTCCTAGACTCGAAGAGGATGTCAAAGGCAGGGAGAAGGTCTCCCAGCCCGGCCCAGATGTCTCCCAACAAGAGGTACACGGGGACGCCATTCCACCGAGGCTGTCTCAGTGCCATCACATCCCATGTTCCTTTCCCGGTGCCCGGTATTGCTGCTCTGCACTCCCACCGTGGTTTGGAAGAGCATGCTAGCTTTCAAACACCCCAGGTTCCCGTCCAGCCTAGCTGTTTCCCCGATGCACGCTGTCGTCTGTGTTGCATGGCTCTGTCGTGTGTTCTGTGCGTCCGCTAACCAGGAGAAGTCAGTGTCACCTCTCAATCCCCTCATCCGGCCGCCCACCCCATCCCTCGCCCCACCGCAGCATGTCGGCAGCCGGGAGGGACGTGTCTCACTAACCAGCGGCTCTGTCCTCGTGTCTTGCATGAAATCGTCGTGTCTTGCATGAAATCGGTGCCCGGTTTGTGTAGCGAAGAGAAACGTGCTGCCGACTAACCTCTCTGGTCATGCCGGGGCTGGGGGGGATTGGGGGAGACGCTCCAAAGCTCGTGGAGGGTCGCTCTTGTGCCGGGAGTGATGATAGCAGGGGTAGGAAAAATGCATGCGGCATGCGGGTGGAAGTCGAGTGTACGCCACAGGGAGGGGACGGTAGAGCCACCCCGAGCTCAGACAAAACACGACCTTGCCTCAGCGCCGGGTCTCCTGCCCGGTCAGCGCTGGGGCAGCTCTCCAGCCCTGTCAGGTAAGTTCCCAGCACTACCTGGAGCTGCCGGGGCGAGTCCAGATGTGGAGCCAGCAAAAAGCTGCAGAATTAAAGGGAGCTTTCTTTGAGCCAGCCTGGAAAGCATCATGTAGAGCACCTGATGCCATTGGGCTCCAGGGACACAGCGGGGCTGTGGGCATGGGAGATCAGCTCCATGGTGCCCCTTGGCCGGCGCTGGGCGGGTGAGGCTGTGGGCTCAGGAGTGCTGAGCACTGGCTAAGTGTTTCCTTGTGAAAGCCCTTGGCAGCTTTCGAGGAGGGGAAGGTTGCTGGGGCCCTGCCTCTGTGCCCCTGAGGTTCTGACACGGCGAGTGTAACCACAGGCGGGAGCTGGTGCAGATTATGAACTTGCTGCAGGACACAAGTGAAAGGGATTTGGTGGGTCTCACCCACCTTTTGAAGACCGATTTTCTCTAACTCCTGGTGTCTGGGACAGAGCATCAGATCCGATGTGAGATGTATCAGTCACACGGGACACTTTGCATGGTGGCCGTCTGCCCGGGGCAGCAGCCTGGACCCTCTTCGCCTGGGCAGGGCTCTGTGTGACACTTGGAGGATGTTGTGTGGCACTTGCAGAGGAGTCAGGCTGGTGCACAAGGAGCTCTTGGCGTTGTTGGCGTCGTGCCCTGACTTGCTGTGCTTCTCCTGCAGTCATCAGCTCCAAAAACAGACGCTGTGACCGTTGGCCTGGGGCTGGGCATGAAGAAGCCTGAAGCAGACGGCTCCGCTCCCCACCGGCTCAGCACCACAGACACAGCCCAGGTGACACGGCTCTGTCCTCTTGTCCTCCCCGATGGCTCTGCCGAGCAAAACCTGTCCCCAGGCAGCAGCACTGGGAGGGTCAGGGACCTCTGCTCACCCTTGTCTTGCTGGAGTCCCCAAAACATCCAACTGGAAGCCCACCCAGGGATATTCTGTGTGCATCCCTCGCCCCGCCTGCCGTGCCACTGGTGTGCAGCACTGGCACATGGGGGTGTCTCCACAGGGTGACAGCCACCATACGTGCTGCACCGTGCGTGCCTGTGGCCCTCCACGGCTTCTTCTGGCAGCAGGGACGGCTGCACCGTCGCTGCAAGTGTCACCCTCTCCCTGGTACCTCCAGGCTCACCGGGTTTCCTTTTCCCTGGCAGGTGGATGGAGGCACCCCGGGCAGCAGGGACCCCACGACCACCACTAGCACCACAGAGACGGCACCGGCGACCTCAGTGAGTGGGGCTGGCCCCTCAGGAGGTGGGGCAGCCACTGTCCCCCGTGGGCCTTTTGCTCCAGCAAGTGGGTCTAGGACCAGCTGTACTGGGAGGTGGGGGTCCCTGCTGCACCAGGGATGTCTGTGGAGGGCGATGTGCTGTGTTTGCCCCCACGTTGCATCTGAGCCAACGCGCTCATGTGCTCTTCTAACAGGATCACGGGACCAAGGCTGGGAAAGGGGCTGTTTCTGCGACGGACCTTCGCTCCCTCTCACCGGGGAGGGGGGA